TGGAAAAGCAGTTCAGATTTTCCAGGTTTACCGAAAGGGGAATAGGACCGGGGAACAGCCGTGCCGCCTCCAATAAGTGCTTTTCCAATTCTCCGCGGTGTGGAAACTCCTCTGCAGGGTAATGGGGTTTCCGACCGGTTTTGGCTCCCCCGTGCCCAAAACGGGGGCAGCCCCGCTGCCATCAATAAATTAACATTAGTTCCTCCAACAGTGGCTTGCTCCCATCGGCTGGGCTGTGGCTGGGGTGTTTGATAGCTGCTGTCAGGCGCAGGTTAAGGATGGGGAAGGGAAAAAGGTGGTTTCGAGCTACCCAAACCTGTTGTAGTTGTGTTGATGTGTAAGGTTGACGTAGCCAAGGATGGAGTTTGTCAGCTGTAATTTAAGAGTGAACCAATATTTTATTGCCCTGGCTCCTCTCCAGGGAGCTAAGCATGTTTTGGATCTTTTTAGTTAGAACAGGTTGCAAAACAACACCTTTTTTAAAAAAATACTAATAATCAGAAAATATTTTGAGCTGGGAGAAAAGAATGTTCAGTTACTGCCAGAATTGTCATTAATACTTTTGCCTGAAGGCTGAACAAATGAAATGATATACAGGCATTATTGATGCAAATACACGTCTGTTAAGGTTTTTGGAAAGGAAGGGCTTTCTCAGTCGCTGTAGTCTATATTTGTGTTGCTCAGCACCCCGATACAAACAGCTGGAAGCATTTTAGAAAAAAGAGATGCAGTGTGCTTATATATCAATGTCAGGAGTTATGAAAGCTTTAGAATTTAAAAAGACACTTAATTTTTGAATCTTAAAAAAGTAAAGCTTGTCGTAGAAGTCATATTAGTGGTTTTTTTAGTGAGAAGTGTAAAAGAAGGAATGAAATAATCTTCCCCTCTCTAAAGGGGAATGAATTAGAGAGAATTGATTGGTTGTAATTGAGAAAGAAAGCAAATATCGTTAAATTATATTTCTACATTTATTGACTATGAATCTAATTTTGCAGTTGCTGCAATTGATGGAAAACATCCTGTTGTGCTCAGTGTGGGGTACCTGATAATATAGCATATTTATCAGCACCTCAAGCTACAAGCATATATGGCTGTTTAATGCAGAATTTCTGTTTGCACCATGTACTGCGATGATGCATTAAAAAGGACTATTAAACTCTCGAATAAATTCTTTGAAAATTTACAGGCATGGTTTTGGGAGGTGAACACAATTTATAAAGCTGTGTTTACTGTTGTTTCTAAATCCTTGAATTTACTGAGCGTATGTGAGTTGGATGTATGCATGCTACAGAAAGCATCAGATCGTAACTCTTTCTGCTTTGCTCCTGCAGAATGTGAGAATTTCTTGGAGGATGGGCTGAGTAGCGTCTGTGCCTCGTCACAGGGTGTCCTTAAAAGAGAGTCCGGGAGCGAGTCTGACCTCTTCCCCTTGCCTGGTGATGGGATGGAAGACCTTGTCTTTGGAAAGGTAGGAAAGCCTGGTTTGGATATGGTTAAAAAAGCCCCGAGGCCTGGTTCAATAAACCCGTACTGCAAATGCAGATCATCTTGGTTTCGCTGGTGAGTTAGAAACCTGGAAGCGATTATCCTGGAACAGAATAGATGTGAAGGATCTGGTCCTCTCTTTGGATGCAGCAACATGAGGGATGTATTTACTTGCAGCAGAATTCTAAAAAACTTGCAGCCTCCAATGTTAAAAAGATGAAAGTAATTTTGACTGTCCAAAAGTAAATCAGGCACTAGAGGAACAGTTGAAAAGGTGTATTTTCTTGCAAGGACATTAGGGATTGCTCAGATGGTATGAAAGCTGTCTTTAGCTCATGTAACAAAGAGCTTTTTTCCAGCAAACGATGACCTCTGCGCTGACACCTTCAGAATCATATACTGTAATTCTCAGAGGAACCAATGTTTTTCTGTAAATTCAGTGTGACTCCCTGGGTAGGAAGGAAACACTCACTCTAAACACTTAAGGCCAATTCCAATGAATAGTTTTGTTGCCTAGGCGACATACCTCTAATGCCTTTTTGCGTGCAAGTAGAAGGAAAATGTTTTCAAGTTTGCTTAAAATCAACAACAGAAGTCATTGCTAACCTTAGTCATCCCTGTGCCCTTTGTGTTGCTCACGGCTGAGAAGGGGAAGGAGGAGTGGGTGAGACCTGAGATACAGAGTAACCTCCTGAACAGATGATGCCTCGCTTCAGCATCCGTCTTCTGCCGTCTGCATCACAGCAGCCTGAATTTATTCAGAGGGTGATTAGGTTTTGCTTTTTAAGAATTGTCTTGCTGGTAATTGATATTCTTATTGCCATAAGTAGAGGATGAAAAAGCACCCAGAAAGAATAGAGTGATGCAGAATCAAAGAGGATGTGAACCTTCCTTGGAGCAGCCATCACGTTGGTCTCAGCTCCATGAAATCACCCGCTTAGGTTCAGCCCCAGCTTACCTGTTTGAGCAGGCACAATTCCTGCTCTGAAAAACTAAACTTTCGGAATAGGTTTCACACTTGTTTTCAGAGAAATATATTTAATGAAACAAAATTCTGTTTGCTTTAAATCAAATCAGATGATGGTGAATATTTTCCAGCGGGACGGGAAGCACCACAGCCCGGGCTAAGTGATCTCATGTGCTATAAATGAACAGTAAAGTCATCCTTAATGCATGTGGTAGGGCACAGAACTCACCAGCCTCACCCTTTCCCATCTTACTCTCAAAGTGATGCGGGAGCCTGGATTGTGAGAATATAAGGCTGTTTGGCGGAGCAGAAGACTGTCTTCAATTTTCTCGTGTAGAATGGCATGAATTACGATAGCCGACTGCCATTTCAGCCTGATTTAATGATTGTATGGGGATGCATGGGAGAAGAGTGCTGTGGGAACACAGTGAATTTATATTGTACAGGATTTTAGCTTTTTCCCTTTCTTATGTGGAAAGTTTCCTTCTCCAAATAGGAGAAAGAAAAATTAAAACTTAAAAAGAATAGGTACTGCAATGTAGTAGGGATGCTGCAGGGAAAAGGGGGTGGTGGGGAAAGCAGATCTTCAATTGCCAGTGGAGAGCGGGCAGAGGGAGGAAATTATTTTCTTTGTAGAAAGGGAATTTCTTAATTTGGCAGCCTTTACATTTGTCGTGGTTTAACCCCAGCCGGCAACTGAGCCCCACCCAGCCACTCGCTCACTCCCCCCCAGTGGGATGGGGAAAAAAAAAAGTGAGAAAACTCGTGGGTTGAGATAAAGACAGTTTAATAGGGAAAGCAAAAGCCGTGCACACAAGCAAAGCAAAACAAGGGATTCATTCACTCCTTCCCATGGGCAGGCAGGTGTTCAGCCATCCCCAGGACAGCAGGGCTCCATCACGCGTAACGGTGACTTGGGAAGGCAAACACCATCACACCGAACGTCCCCCCCTTCCTCCTCCTTCCCCCAGTTTTCTGTGCTGAGCATGACGCCATATGGTGTGGGATATCCCTTGGGTCAGTTGGGGTCAGCTGTCCCGGCCGTGTCCCCTCCCAGCTTCTTGTGCCCCCCCAGCCTGTTCACTGATGGGGTGGGGTGAGGAGCAGAGAAGGCCTTGACTCTGTGTCAGCACTGCTCAGCAGTAACGGAAACATCCCTGGGTTATCAACACTGTTTCCAGCACAAATCTAAAACACAGCCCCATACTAGCTACTGTGAAGAAAATTAACTCTATCCCAGCCAAACCCAGCACAGTTCTCATTATGTGGTGGATTGCAGACTTCGTCTACAAATGGGTTCAAAAGGTTCCTGAGTTGAGTTTAGGAAGTTACTCAAAGCTAATCTCAACCTCAGCTGCTTTTTTGGTCTCTGCTTTGCTGACAAACTCGATTCCTTGTCTCCTTTCTCAGAATTTATTTGAGTACCTACAGTTCTACAGTTACAGTTATTTCTAGAAGGACCAGAGACACTAGTTTAGTGTTGTGAGCTCGTTCATTAATTCAGTCTTTTTGGGTTTTTTTTAGACTACTAAGCCCAGCTGGTAGAAATGCAAGCTATAAATATTTTTAATAACCACTAAAATAAGTGCTGGATGTAGTCTTTCTTCTGAAAAATATTATGAGGCATGTCTTCGTTGTAATTGGTTAATTATAAGCCTATTAAATAGTGCAACTTCCATATCAAATTGGGAAGAGAGAGAACATATTTATGAACAAAAAGAGGATCTCAAACCTTGTAGCGTCCTGATGATTATTGTTTTTACTAGTCCTGTTCTTGTTTCTCCTTTGTGTGGAGCAAGAGTTGAACTTTCGTCTGTTAGAGTTGTTTTTTGTTGTATAAATGACTCCTCTCCTCTTAACTGCTTAATACATTAAAAGAAATTTAGGAAGAACAAGCCATTGTCTGTCCAGGGTCTTCCAGGCAGCTTCCATAGACATCCCTTGAAATTCATAGATTTTAAGCCCTGGTTCTATCCCAGGGCCATGAAGAATTGAGGTCTGTGGGGTCACAAAATCTGCAGGTACCTTAAACTGTCCTGGTGTTCGGTGCATGCTCTCATTGCCGTCTCCTGTGCTTGTCTCTTTTTTTTTTTTTTTTTTTTTGCTCTGAGGGACACGTGCTGAGCTGCGTAACGTGAGCTGCCGGGTTCAGAGAGCTTTAGCACTAAAACCTGACTTGTTTTTTCAGACTTTAGAGGCTGTCGCTGAAATCCAGAAATCGCTTCCAACGTGAGGTCTAAAGGCTTCAGCAAAATGTTTTATTTTTTCGCGTCAGCGCTTCATTCCCATGTCCTCGTCATCCTGCTTTTCCTTGTCCGTCTCAGACAGCCATCTGGGCAGGCCTTGCAACACCCTCCTTCTTGAATGATTAATGCTGCATAAGGTCATTTCTCACAATCATCTGGCAACGTCCCGGGGCGTAGCCCATACGCTTTGCTCATCTTAACTTTTAACCTGCCACCAAAATTCAGCGTTACTGGGAAGTTTTTTAATGTGCCTCTTGGGAAATGATTCAGACGAAAGGCCCTTGGGAAGTCAGAAACCCACAGAACATTGTCAAAGGAAGGGGTTGCCACTCAAGCCCTTGAGGTTTTTTTTTCATTTCTGCCTTTGTTTTGGTTTGCTCAAGGAAATACACAAATACATAAATATTTTGCATTTATTTTTTCAGAATTATTGTTTCTTAAAAAAAAAAAACAACCCACAAAAAACCAACCATGCAAAAAAACCAAACCCAAAGGAATAAAAGTTTGAAGAGAGAGAGGCTTTCACCAGGGGAAGACTCCTCCGCTCCAAATCATAAAAATTATGATAAATAATTAATAGGAGGCCGCTATTGAGGTTCATTTTAGGGAGCCTGGAGCCATAGGCAAATCCAAATAAAAAATGACCCTGCTAGATTATATATCATGCCAACCAGAGGTGTTGACTCCTTTAGTGTAATGGTATGCCAAATAGACTTCAGGATGCCAGGGTTAAATTTTTTTCATCTTTTTTTTTTTTTTTTTTTTAATACTGTAACACCTTTAATGTCTTTGTCACATGGAAGATCAGGGGACAGAGTAAGTTTGTGTCTCAACACTTTGCGTGTCGTCATCACAAAAATGATTGAAAGAACATTTTAATTCCACTTATCGAGACCTCCTACAGATGGAGGGATTTAGTTGAAGAAGTTATCTTATACCCCCACCATCCTAGTGATTTCTCTTATCCCTATTCATGAAGAAGCACGTACGTTCTTTCTCAGAAAACTCACTTTTTATGCCTTATCTCATTTTTTCTTACTAGCTTCTCACCAAGTACTGTTTCTGAGAACAAAGAAAATGCCCATTAGCGCGTATCTGTAAAGGCTCTTTTCAGCCGTGAGTTTTATGGTCACAGTTAAGGGTTGAATTCATTGAGGTGCAATGCAGCAAGCCTAACTTGAAGAAAATTAATATTTCTTTAATGTTCATTTTTCCTGTAGGAAAAGAACACATTAGAGAACCATTCCTATTCTGCAAACAGGGTATTTTCTTACTCAAACAGGATTAAAGAGCAATGCATATTTACTGGCACTTGGCCAGATAGCTATTTTTTTGCAGAGGTGGCTGCAATATAGATGTTTCTTAGATGTATCAGCCACACTTGGCGTTTTGCAGACAGAGTCCTGGTCTTTCATATTAACTATTTTGCTTTGTTTCAAAAAAAAAAAAAAATCTAAATGAAGACAGAATATTTTTAGAGGAATAAGCATGGGCCACAGTTCAAGGGAATTGTTTATTGTGTTCTGTAGTCAGTCTGTTGCTCAAGGTAAAAGTTAAAATGGACCAAATATATTTCACATTTTTCAAAAATCTCTTTGAATTGCACTTTATGATAGAAACCCTAAACCTTCCTTGCTTGGGAGGCGGGTTTTGTTCTGCATTTTAAACTGGAGCAGTATTCTCATCTGGGACATAAAAAATCCTCTTTTTACTCTAATTCCTCCCTATATAATTTGATGTTCTGCACTATTGTTGCTAGATTTGCACCCAAATTTAATGTTTCCAAACTGTCCCATACTTCCACTGTACAGCTGGCGGGTAGTCCTCTCTCCTCCTGCTGTGCTGCCCTAATGTCTAGCAGTATTTTCCTGTGTCTCAGAAAAGCGAAGCAGGCTGTTTTCTCTACTGAAGGAGTATTAGCCACATAATGACTACTTAATTTGTCTAGATTTAAGCAATTCAGTAAGCTCTCATCATGACTCACACAAATATCATCAGATTTTCTTGAATAACGCCAAATGTCATAAAAAAATTTACTGGGCATCCGTTTCATCTCTCTCTTGTTTTAACCTACGCTTCCTATTTAAATATGTGTCAAATCCAATACTTTACATTACAGTATGTTTGCTATTAAAGTATTTACACAAATTCACCATTAATAGTTGACATTCCTTACCATGAAATGAATGCTTTTGGAGGGATATATTTTTAGTGTGTTTTTTAGTATTTTGTGTTTAAAAGGTATATTGTACTTTGGTGTTGTGCTGTGGATGCTGTCTTTTTTTTCTCTTTTTTCTTTGATGGATGGGAGAGGGGAAATAGTGTGATAGCATTTATTTAAACCACCTTAGGAACGTTATTGTCTACCTGTTAAACTGAAATAAGAATAAAAAATAGCCAAACTTGAAACACGGCTTCCCTCTAAAGAGGGAATAATTTAAATACTTGAATATTTTATTAGAATACTTTTTGAACATCTCAGTTTCTTTTTATTCAGTTTAACAGGAAGCTTTTAGCTTATAATGCGTGCCCATCAAAAAAAGCACAGAAAAGCAAAAGTGCCTGGAGCGTTTAACATTGCTGGGCTTGAACGAAGTCAGGGCGGTGGGATCCGAGGCGAGGACTGCCGTGGGGCAGCACCGCTCCCGTTCATCCTGCCCTGCATGGGTTTTGATGCCCATCTCTCCCTTGTGAGAACGGGATTTTGTAGCCCGTTGTCTTCTGCCAAATGAGAGCTGACAGCCTGCAGCTCCTTGAGAGCTCAGCTTCTGCTGAGACCCACCGAGCCTGCTATTTGAAGACAATTAACTGCTGTGGCTTTGCTGAATAGTCTCATATATGATCTGACAGATCATTCTGCCTATTATTATTTTAAATGATACAGTGCAGGGCTCTGCAGGAGAATAAATTGAAACTTCCCACGTCAGTCCCTTGGGGCAAACACCATTTCAGACTGAAGGTGATGTCAGAGAGATGCTTGTGTTTTTTTATCCTAGCCACAGGGAACACAGAATATGCACAGGCTCTTCTCAGGCTGTACGGTCAGCATGTGGCCTTTGGCCAAAGAGAACCAGTTTGGCTTCCACTTACAGCTTTTGGAGCAAACTAAACCAAAAAATGGCAGAATGACTCAAGACCTGTAATACAGGGCAGCTGATCCTGTGGGATGATATTTTTTCAATTACAGTTGGATTTGAAAAATGCTGCAAACCCTGGCATTAACTTTCTCCTTAATGGAAAGTAGTGGGGGACGGGGATTTAAGCTTTTATTTTTTCTGTCTCTTTTCTACTACTGAGTAATTGTCCCTTTTGTGCTGCATGATGCAGGGGAACAGTACGTTGCCCTCGAGCTCTCATGGCTGAGAGCTACAAACCCATCCCAGGTCGCACAGGAGAGGCTGGAGTTTGTCATCAGAGGTCAGGATGACCCAGTCCCCATTAATTGCTCTCCGTCATTAACACCTGGTAAACCTTTGGCAGTTTTATGGCACCTTGACCGATAACAGGTTCCGCCAGAAATGGTGAGAGGAGCGGGGTTTGGGGTGCAAGATGAAATGTGGAATGGGAGAGAGGAAGGCAGGCAGAGGACCCGAGCTGGGAGCCCAGGGTTATGGCAACCGGGGATTTGTGGGGTGGAAGGGATTGCTCTGTAGAGCATTTCAGCCTCTTTTGAAACCAGAGCAAAAAGTCTCACTTCTGTGATAGTTAATTTGTCTTGTGCTATCAACTAGGAAATCTCTCAGCTCATGTGAAATATAAAATATTTCCATTTATTTAAAATGTTAAATGTATTCACTTCATTGGAAGTGTTCAAGGTCAGGTCGGACGGGGCTTTGAGCAACCTGATCTAGTGAACAATGTCCCTGCCTATGGCAGGGGGGTTGGACTACATGATCTTTAAAGGTCCCTTCCAACCCAAACCAGTTTATGATTCTACTTTAATATATTTTTAATTTTTCTTATCCACAGCAGCCTGAAGAGGAGCAGTCTGTATGCGATGTCACCAGTTCCAGTTCCTCTGCAGATGACACCATGTCCCTGGAGAGGAACTCATCCCTGGGCAGCGACACGTCCCTTCCCTTCCCACCAACGGTGAACTTCGTCCAGCCCAAGGACAGGCACAGCCTGGATGGCAGCTGCACCAACATGATGGCCGCAGAGGGAGGAGAGAAGGAAGAGGAGCTAGACAGTATCACGGATGTGCCCACTCATTCCTCTGTCTTGCGAAACTCCATGCGGCCGCTGTCACCATTCCGTCGACACAGTTGGGGGCCAGGGAAGAACGCCACCAACGAAGCAGAAATCAATCAGAGGAGGTGAGTGAAGAGCTGCTTTGATTTACTTTGCACCCACTCATGAATATTTACCTAAGCCTTGGGCTCGGCATGATAAAACAGGGAACTGGGGATGTCACTTGTGATTATTTCTTTTTCACTCAAGGGGGTCAAGACAATCTCCTAACGAACGTATGTTTGTTTGGTTTTTTTAACTTAACTTTCAGGATTAAAGTACTTGATACCTACAGTACACTTGGGCTTTCCAGAGGGAATGGAAATACCTTGGGACAGGTCTTTCATTTGAACTGTCACCACACCTTTCTATAGGAAGGGCTTTGTTAAAGGAATTACTGGAGTGTTAAATCTCTGACAAAATAAACATGACCATTATTGCTCTGATTGTGGTACAAGATAGCACTGGCACCAGAGTTTTAAAAAAAGGTGTGGAGGCTCCTCATTTGGCATAGTGGTGAGATGGATAGTCCCTGTTTCACAGAATTGGGTCCACCTCAGTCTCTCATGGACAGAAAGTCCCATCTAACTCACCACTGATGTCCCTGCTGGTGCCTCGGAAGATTCAAAAGGGAAGTTTTCCCTTTCGTTCTTTCAGAAGGTAGAAGAGGGAGAGGTGTAACAGCCACAGGAGTGTGTAAATGCTGGTGCCAAGTGACTGTGGGAAGAAAAGGTGCTCAGGCCCCCATCTGAGTGGGAAAAAAGATGGAGTAAAGGACCATGCACGCCAATAAAGTAACTGGTGTAAGGTTCCCTGCTGTGCTCTGCACCGTTCAGCATCTGGGCTGCTGGATACTTGAGGTCAAACCCTGTGTGTTCTGAAAGCAGTGGAGGTTTGGCCAGTGTTCTTAATGCATTTAATGCTTCCAGAGCAGGAGTGGCCAGTTGTTTTAGCAGGATCAGGGTGCCTCCCGTCCTCCAGTGCTGGCCTGCAGCTTACAGAGGCTGCAAGCCCAGGCATGCAGTGCAGCGCTACTCTCTGGGCTGCCTGCTGCAATTTTCATGGCCACAAGTCTGCTTTTAAGATAAACAGAGCCATTGCATTTGGTGATGCCATTAATTTAAAACTGGCCACTCCCAACGGGTTCTTGGTAAATTGTTTCTGACCCGTTTGGATAATCCAGTGAGAGGCAGCAGCCTCCCATCGGAAATGTATGCATCCTTTACGTGTTAGGAGCTGTGGGTATCACTAAAGGAATACTATAGACCCTTCAGATTTTAAAGCCAATGTTGAAAAACATTCAGGAACATAGTATCTTTCACCCTATGTTGCTATTATTGTTATTATTGCTACTACTATTATTATTGCTATTGTTGTTGTTTACCACTGCCACCTTTTTTTGGCTTCATTTCTGGTCCCCAGGTAATATTTAAATAAATTAAGTAAAATTAAAGCTACAAAAGAGTCAGCATAAGGTATACATGCAGGTTTATGACAAAATGAGTCCATAAGCTCATAAACTCATTTAGAGAGATTTATTTTTAAGTGTAGGACCTGATATGTAAGGATTTCTGAGGGTAATAAACTGCATAGCTGGCAATTACTGCTAACACTTAACAGATGGGGTTAAATTCTACTGCATCAGACTTTGGACTCTGTTTCTGATACGGGAAAATACATCCATTGTAAATGTAAGAAAATTTGAGTTAAAGGAACAGTAATTACTCTCATATGTTCTTAGATGCAGCTGCCGCTATGTAAGGATAGCTGTCACATAGGTTAATTAGAGAAGAAAAGCTGTGTGGGTCTTTGCTGCTGATTTGGTTCCTGTTTGGTTTTATGTTTCTGTTAAAAAGGAATTTGGATTATTTGGGTTTGTTGTTTTTTGTTTTGTTTTTTTTTCTTTTCTACTTTGTTCTTTTCATACGTGGCTGTTGTGATGTTGAGATTCTGGTTGCTTAGTGAGCAGCAACAAATACCGAAGAAGAGAAGCCCAAACAAGTGACTTTCATACAAATCAGTTAAATTCAGGGTGTTTTTCTTATTCATTAATTTCATGTGCAGTAGATACTTTTCCATTTAAAGGGGACAAGCCCTTATTGGAACTTGACTTTTGCGAACCTTGGAAGTGAAGTTACACAGAGCACAAGCCTTAGCTAAGGTTTGTCCTGCTGACGGGCAGGACCTGTGCTGCTCCCACTGCCTGCCACCCCTTGTCCCTGCTCCCTCTCCTCCTCTGGGCACCTGTGGCACTTCTTTGCTCCATCGATGAGCAGGTTGCACTCACTAAATGAGCAGAAAATCAACCAAATAAAGTGGAATTGCCACCAAAATCCAAGGACTAGAGCTGGGCTGCACAGCTGGGAAGAGGAATTGGGTGGCAGGCTGCACAGTCAGCCAAGCTGTAAGAGGTGCCTCCTGCCCCAGCAAAGGACTCGCAGCCTGGTCCAGCCCCCATCCACACCAAAAAGTCTTTCCCACAATGGCAGGGGTAGCCAAGTCAAGCTTAAATAGTGCTGCTGATACAGGACCCAAAGAGCCTATGGAAAAAATCAGGTTTTGTAGGATTTGGTCTTTTCCAGCGTTACATGTTTTCTTTTTGTAAGAGGGGTGAGCATAAAAGTTTGTTCACGAAAAAGATCAGAAGAAATGTCATTGTCTTAAATAAAATGTGAAAACATGCTCAGTTCCCCTCTGCCTCCTCTCTCAAATGCACTTCACAGATAATCCTCATGTCTACATTTTGCTATTAAAAATACAAAGAAAACTAACAAGGCTGCCACAAAAGGATGTTCATCCTTCAGTTAATTCCTGACATTCATAGCGGATTTGAAATGCCTGTCTTTCAACAATGATGCAGTGTTTTTAACGTTTGTGTCCGAGGAAAGAAACGCTGGCATTTTTCACTGATGGATTAAGCACTGCAAAACTGGAGCTGGTGTTAATCACGGTTGCTAAAAGCTTCTGTCAAATAGTTTGTCCTTATCTAAACTTTAGACTGACCTGGCTTTGGCAGCAGCTAAGTTGCAACGTGGTCAATACCTGTGAAACCTTATTTCTGTACAAAAAAAACCCCAAACAACCCAAACCAGATTTATTTGTAAAAGAGGGGGAGAGGAGGAAAAGCGTGACTCATTACTTCCTTTAGTATTTACTTTTGTGTTTTCTCTGTACGTCCATTCCCTCTGTTGTTCATTTGTTGGGGATATTCCTTCAGCTGCCATTTGTTCATTTTTTTCCATTCAAGCTGCTGACCACTCTCCATGATTCATTTTCAGTTCAATGCGAGTTCTGGGGGATGGTATAAAGAAGCCTCCCATTCATAGGAGAAGGTACAAAGCCAACTAACGTGACTAACTGTTTTGCATTTGAATGTCTACTAACTCCATACTGTCATGTTAGTAAACCTGTAGTACCTCTCGAAGCGTTGGCATTAGAGCTGTGCATCCCGCTTGGCTGCTTTCCCTCTCCAGTTGGACCCAGGGCAGTTTTTCTGACCCACAGAGCATATGCTCAAGCCCTTTTCTCCAGGACAATATGTTAGAACTTGGAGAAATCTCACATATCATTTTGTTGGCCTTTGCCGTGTGTAAGATTTGGAGTTGTATTAAAATAATTGTTTACCTGAGAGCATGTGCATAATTTGGATTTAAAGCACATCAGAGACTCCTGCCAAGGCTTGCAGGAGGGGCACCTGGGGAGGGGATGCATCAGAAACGATCTCAGAGTTGGAGAATACTCTGCAGATCTGCAGCTGGTTGAATTAAATGGCTTTAATTTTGCTCTTCTGCTGTTTTTTAAAACCATTGTCCTGAAAAGTAGCAAATAAGTATTTTTTGTCTTTACTTCCATGTGTGGTTCTTTTGTTCTGTATAGCCAACTTTCAGTTCCTCATCCATCATGCAGATATGCATTTTCACTCATGTAACTTTTGCACTGTCTATTAACATATAAAATAGGACACTTTATTTTTGACACAGCAGACACGTGGACTGTCCACACTTGTACATTTTTTGGCTAAAAAGAAGAGAAATTTAACCTCTCCCCTTCAGTGGTTCAACCTCTCCTCACCTCCCACAGCCTGCTACCTCTCCTCCTGTGGCAGGTTAACTCAGGATTTCGTTTCCCTTGAAATGAGTGGGGTTACGTGTGTGTGTGTGTGTGTAAAGAAACTGCCAGATTTCCACGTATGGAAAAAATGTTACCTTGATGTTATTACCAAAAAAGTCACCATGCCTTACCATGCATCAGTATAAATGAAGCCATATGAGCAGTGCTGTACAGTTCAGGAGAGGGCTCTTAAAAAAGAACTTTAAAAAAAAAAAAGGCACAAGAAAGAACATGCTTTTTTACTTCTACGAAGCCACTTTATTTGCATCGCTCTGTGCTCTGGAGGAAGAAGTGCAGTGCTCGTCTTCTCAGCTCATGCAAATGAACAACTTTTTACTAGTTGTCTGTTAAGACTCCTCTGTAGGAGCTGTGTTAGTATTTAGTCATAATATCCTGAAACACTGAGCTTACACGTAGAATAAAGAAAATGTCTCAAATAGGCAACCTAAAATACTTAGTCATATCTGAAATGTGTGGTAATTCTTTCATAAGCATTCTCTCCTTTATTTTTTTTTTTTTCCCCTAGCCTCCCAACCATTTTGGTATCATGTTCTCTAACCCCAGTTGCAGAGCAACAGCCTGAAACTAATTTCAACAGTTTATGCTCTCCCACAAGGCTGATGTATATAATAGCTCATCCCCCCTCCCCAAGTCGTCTTCTGTAAAGGGACGTTTTGCATGCTCTGCACTGATCTTGTTCGGTTTTTATGGTGTTGCCAACAGATTGTGGGTGGCTCCCCAGCAGGATTGTAATTCTTTAAGACTGCTTTCCACAGCCCTTGCCAAAAGGTCTTTTTCCTTCTGTGAGACCTTCCACCACTTCCAGGCTTCCTCCTACATATTTGCATGGCTCCTCTCCTTCCCTCCCTCCACTCTTCTGCTTCCCTTCCCTGTGGTTTTAGCATTTGGGATTGTCACTATAACATGGCAATGGTCAGGAATAGAGGCATCTTTTAAAGTGCACTATCCAGTGTAAATGTTGCATCATTTCTTTAATGAGGAAAATCCTCTCTCCTTCAATTGAAAAGTGACCACGCAAGAATTACCGACTTTTGCAAACAAGTCAACATGAGCATAGCTCCAAGGGTCCACCAAGCCCAGTACTCTTGGGGCCACAAGCAGATGGCTGGGGGAAGCAAGGAGAGGGGAAGCATGTGTGATACTTTCCTTCTCAGCCTCCATCTAGTTTCCGTCGGGCAGGTTTTACTGACCTGCTGGGAGGCTGGACCCAAGCCTGAGAGTGCCGACTGAGATGTGTAATGGAGGTGGTTTTACTGTGGCCAGGACTTGGTGGTTCTATGATCTGAAGCAAGTAGTTAGTCCCCCCATCCCTCACTACTACTTACATCTGCTACCATGGTTTAGCTGGATGATGATGATGAAGTACTTGGAAATATTGGCATGTTATGGGAAGGTATGTCTTCATGAAGAATGCTTATGATACTGTGCTGAGAGCCACTTGTGAAGCACACCTGGGGTTTTGAGGTGCAAAGCACCGGTACTTCAGGTGTATCCTCACCCAGTTAACGTCCTTAATAAAACAGGTAGCAATTACCTGAACTCCACCATTGAACACCAACCGTCAAACCCTTCCTGAATGTTTCCAGTGTTGTACTGTGTGTGGAAACTATACGAGGACTTGGCATCAGATGATGCAGTCAGTGGCTTTAAACCTTTCTCTGTGCCCTCTTGAGGCTTCTGGCACTCACAAATCCTGGCCCAGGGATGCTTAGATTTGTTCTGCCCTTAGGCTCCTGGCCTGGAGCAAAGCGTGCTCTGGCCATGTCCTCTCCTTGCATGGATCACAGGCCAGGGGCTGAGAGCGGGACTTGTGCAGCACTGCTCTGGCAGATCTGTGCTGATGCAAAATTCCCTTCAGACGACGTATGTTTCCTGGGCAGCTTTTCCAGGATTTAGGGATCCTTTGTATGTCATAGCTGACAAGAAGATTGATTTCTCTGTGCCTGCAAAACCTGCAATTGGGCCATGAGCTGACAGAAAAAATAACAAAAGCAGTAGTTAAAATAACAACCAAAATATTTGCATTCTGTATTTGCATTTCTTATGTCTTTCATGATGCAACTTGGGACTCTTTTGGGGTATGGGAGCTGAAAGGTTTTCTAGTCAAAGTACTATTTGAAGGCCTCTTGATTTAATCCCAAGTTTATAGTAAGACAGCCTGTTTTTTTTCTTCCAGCCTCTTTCACTGGTTTGCTGTGCAGCATTTAAGAATGTAATTCTCTCCTTATTTTTCCCAAGTGCAGCCTGAGGTTATTAATACTTGTATGGAGGGGACTTAAAACAATTAAATATCTGCAAGGAATTCTTTTTCTGATTTGGGGATGAGAGGTACCAGAAAAATACTAATCATTACTAACACAGCGGCTGTGTGTGATTATGCAAAATTGGCTTTGGTGTGTTTCAGCCTTGTTTTCCCCAAAAACTTCTCTCCCCACAAGGAGCAGTTTCTCCAGTACATTGTATACTCGCCGATGGGATCGGTTTGGCGGAAGCATGGGCTGTCCTGCTACCCGTTCGGTGGTAACCTCCGTCACTTGGGGCACTCTGGAGTGTTCTGGCGGCCAGAAATATATAGTAGCTACTGCATTATTTCTGAGTTTTGTTGTTTTTTTTTTTTTAAGATATGCAAGAGTGAGAGTCTTTTAACATTCCCCTGTTCCATAACAATCCAATAATCACAGCCCTTTTCCTTTCTTTGCCTCTTTTGATGTTCCTAGTTTGAGCTGGTGTCCCTCTGGTGTACAGTTCATTGCCATGGGTCCTGACTTTACTTGTAGAAGGTACGGTATAAATAAATGTGCAGCAGCAGCAAAGGAGCACTGCAAACACCCTGTCGTCAGCTTTTCGTGCATCGCCTTTTCTGCTGCTGCTCTGGCTGAAGTGTGCACGTGTTTTGTTTGCTTCATCTGCTTCTTCAGCAATTAGTCTTGGGAATGGGTCTTCTGAACTGGGGTGCAGGTGAAGGTGGTGGCTGCTTTTCATTGGCCTCGAGCGTTAAAGAAGCTGCACTGTTGGTTTGAGCTGCTCTATTCTGTGATGATTTTAAGGCGTGTTTTTTCCGCAGCAGTGATCATAACGATAATTGTGACAGCCAAAGAATCAAAAAGAGAGTTAATGTGATTCGGCACCGCTTTGTTCTGGATGGATCTCATAAAGGATTTAAGTTCATACAGAGTTGCTCTTTGTAAATTGAAAGATCTAGTTTCTTCTTCAGAGAGACTAATCATGTAAAACTTTCTGTGAAAAAACAATCTGATAGCCACGGATGATGATTTCCCAGGCATTTAAAGCTTGCATCTTCTGTAGAAAGTCCCAGAGTTGGGATTGATGCTTGCAAGTCAGATCTTTACCTGATGTCGCCTGGAAGCTAGTCTCCCAGATCTTATAGCTTCTGAGTTCTGGCAGTTCTTGTTGGTTGTGGGTAGACCTATTAAACTCTTTTTTCTGAAGACTAGATATTGAGAAAGAAGTCAATATGTCCTTCCCCTTACAGATGTAACCACATTTGATCTATATACCCCAACCAACAATTACAGACCAATATTACCAACTGATGACTATTTTGTGTGCTCTCTAATATTTGCAGTTTTAAGCTGTTTGTGTCTTGACAAACCACATGAATTTTTCTGCACTATATAGCACCATTGCTATCACCTTGGGATGCAAGGAAAAAAAGTGTCCTCTGCCCTAAATAATCGGTAGAAATGGGACTGATTTCTCTTTGCAGGTGTTTTAGAATAAACTTTATAATGCCTGCTATTGATACACATTGTTGAGTCAAATCTTTCTAAAGCAGATTAAATTGTAAATGCCTCAGTCATCTTTCTCATTAACTAACCTGAAAAAAGTCGTAAAAAAAAAAAGTAGATCTTATTTAAGGCTTATTGCAATTTTTGCTTTGAAGATGCATATTTATCAGCCACTTAATGCTTCTAAAGGAATGCAGAACATTAATCACTGTTATGCAAGTCTACCTGAATTTAAAGGTCCTCTGGTTATTTAAATAATCTGTACAATCTATAGTGTGTTTTCCCTTTCATTTGCTTATATGTTAGCTCGTTGGCCACTTAGATGTCATGGTTAGCCTCCAGTTGGGATGTATATCCAGGATAGGCCTTGCTTCAAGCTAGCAGAACTTTGTGTGCATAAAATGAAACATTAGCCGCGGAGTTGGGCTAGCGTACTGGGAGGTGAATCTGTAAAGCTTGCACATGAACCCAATCTGGCATTGCAAGTGGGTTTATCGATGCTTGGGCATGAGGAGCGGGGGGGTCTGAAACAGAATATCAGGGCCAAGATATATCAGATAGAAATAGTCACATGTGAAGGAGGGGCTGTTTTGTATAGGTGAGAAGAAAGTGTATTAGCCTTTTTCTGTAGAGGTCACTCGTCTATCAGCAGCTGTCTCTACAGAGGTTGACCAAACCTTTTATTACTACCAATTCTGCAAGTAAAAGTTTGGTATTTTGTTTACCTTTGAGTGATGATGTCTGGCTCCATTGGACAGACGTAGCTTCATCAACGAATGATAAAATAGGATTGATTGGCTGATGAAGACAACATTTATTGAATTTAAAAAAAAAAAAAGAAAAGGAAGAAAAGAAACCAGCTTTGGCAGAAAGAAGGACATTATCAGTGCTGAAGCTTTGTGCAGTGGCAAATGCTAAATGGATTCAGAGGATGTGTTTGCAGAGATGAACATTACATGCAGCCCAGAGTTGGTTTTGTGGCTGCTGGGAGGGGTAGTGGTCCAGGTCACACAGTGCTGTGCTATACGAGGTAGTTTAATTTGGGTGGCTTTAAGCCCAGGGACAACCTAATAAAAAGCTAGCAAAGAGAGTACATGGAAATATCAAAATCTTCAGAAGTAGTGTTTCTAGATTTTCCTGTGCGTTGTTCAAGAAGGAGGAAAAAAAAAGAAAGTGGGAAAGCCCATTGACCAAGAGTTTGAATGGTCGTTCTCAAGCAACTACTGTGTCTCAGTAGAGGCACAAAGATGCTGCTATATTAGTTACGAAGAAAATAGAAATCCCTCCGCTGCTATCTGCACTTGGTCGTTGAGAAGTAACATGCTGAGGAATAACATCAGCATTTCCCTGCACAGTTCAGTGACTGCATTGTGTTTTACACTGGAAGGTGCTATGTACATAAAGACGCCAGTCCCTAAGAATTTGTCAGGATCTAACCTCCATGGTTTCTCTTCAGTTACAGCTTAGAAGGCCTTGCTGGAGACTCTGGTGAGAACAAGAAGCCCTCTACAAACTTGGAGGCTTCTTCTCTGGGCTCCAAAGACCTCAGACGGAGTCCGCTTGCCAGCAATCAGTGCGGGTCCCTGGTCTTGCTCACAGAAGAACTCGAGCAGGGGGAAATCAGAGACTACAATCACCAGGTAAAGCTGTCCAACTATTGTTAGATTTCTAGAAAATGCTACATCGATGATTGAAGTAATTTTCCCAAGTCACAGTTTCACTGTGAAGGCTTCCACCCTGTATATGTAATATTGTTAAAGTCTTCCATCTTTAACACAGAGGAGTTTCCCCTGTGTTAAATTTGCTACTTGGTTCTTTGGAGCAAAGTGGTTGATGGGTGAAGTCTTAGGGTGGAGAACAAGAAATTTCCCAGTTTTCTTCCACTGATTGCATGAGTAATCATGGAAAAGGTATTAACTTTTTAGCATGGATACAGTGATACTATCAATTGCAGGTGGTGTAAGGCTTCCGCAGTTAATGCTTATGCTGCCTTTTGCAGACCTGAAATACACACAAGTACCAAGTAGTAATTTATCTGTTAAAGTTTTCAGGTTTATTTTCATATCGTAGGAGGAAAATAAAGTTGTTTTTTTCTTTCATAAGTGTAACCAGAATCAAAAGGCTCATTATTATAAGCAACAGTTGAGCAAAACGTTAATTGCATATTAAGAAAATTCAGAGCGATCTCTCTGGAGCAGAAGTCTATGATAGCTATTAAGGACAGAGGGGCCACAATATTATGAGAGTCTCTGCTTATTTTTATTAAAGAAGCCATTATTAGTCTGAAATACTATAAACACCCTGGATTTCTGAGTTTGACGTTTCAGCCATAGTGTTTTCTGGGTTTGTGCCAGAACCATTAGCCAGCTAGTCTGTTTACCTCCTAGAGTCACTGCTGTACATCAACACAGTAAAGGGGTCTTACAAGATCTGGCCTGTAAGAGCTTTTATGTCAAGACTCTCATGTCTTCTCTTGCTTTGAGGAATGGCATTTTTGGGGAACACACTGTTAAGCATCAGATTTTTTACCATGTTGAACCATAGTCTAGTTATGCTGAGGAGCTGGAATTACAGCAGTAATTTCAGTGGCCATCAGACAGTTAACAATATCCATCTTGTAATATCTTGCAAGAAAATCAAGCAGCCAGAGTCTCTCTGTTTGTTGAATAATTAGTTGTCCTACGCTTAAAAGACAAAACAAAAGGTTGCATTTCACCTGTGTGACACCGATGGCGTTTTTTGTGGTCCTTACGTTTCTCACCTATTGCCTTATACTGGGATCGTTTCGATTTCCTCTGTTTGGAAGTGAGAATTTCAGTAAACATGAGCACTGAACTGTAGTCTGTAGTTGGGATGGCGCTGCCGTGCTTGATATACGTGCTCAGTGTGGTTATTTTCTGTTCTGCAGATGCATCAAACATCGCAGCCGCAAGGATTTAATTTCTGTTCTTCCGCTGTTTCATCTCCACTGACCAAATCTATGTCTCTAATGTCAATTAGTAAACCAGTGCTGGACAGTGAGTAATGCAATTTTCCCTTATCCTTATCCATTCTGTCATCTGTATTATTAAGTATAACTTGCTACCTTCCCAAGGCAGAATTTGCTCATACCTGCTCTTGCTTTCCTATATTGTGTGAAATATATGTTTCACTGCTGCATGGAATTGTGGGTGGAAATGGTTTGGTTTAGATCCATATTTTGTTCTTCCGAGCGTATCCCTGGTATTTCCAATTCTATTGGGTTTCTTTTGTTTGTTTTTTCTTAATTAGACTACTGGTACAAAAACTATGATTTATTGAGTTTGTTATTAAAAAAACCCAAAAACTTTTAATTTTGCACCCTTTCAGGATTTCTTCCTTTGATGTCGAGGTAAATTCCACTTGAGATCTTATTTTCCTACTTCTGGATTTTTTTGAAAGTTGATATATGAAAACTTGAGAATCAATGTCTTGGTCTCGTTGGGGAAGTTTGTTGCTATTTATTTTGAGTTAAATGTTTTGGGGCAGTTGGGCGTAATTTATTGAGTCTCATTCCTGAAAAAATACTAGAGGATGATTAGGTGAAATTTTTCAGTTTAGCTTAATTGAAGCAGTAACAAGCACTTAATTTTGCAACTTGTCTGAATTGATTCTTTCAGCTGAAAAGGGTGTTCAAAAGGCTGCAGCTGGATGTGCTTAGGAAGGGCCATGTTACACGTGTTTTCATTTTATTAATTGCCAGCCAGAAACTGTATTGACATTTTAGATCACGTCTTGTCAATCAGCAATGGTCTCTGATCTTTTCCTCTTTATTAGCATGCTTCTTCCTTGCAAAGCTGAACAGAGGAAAGGTGCTTTGAAGAAAGGCATTTTATTCATTTAGGAGGCTTGCTGGAGGAAGCTCACAGAGATTATTCTTTGTAGGAGATGTTTTTAAATTCTTTGCCATCATTCTTCCATGATTAATAAGCATGTGGCCTAACGGATGTGTCCACCGGCAACGGTAACCAAAACACTGTCAGATCTGTCCCGTAAAGAGACCAGCTCTTGCTCTGTGTAATGGGGCACCCTCTTTCCTCCTTAGGCTGAAGGCGTTCATTATTTTTTCTGAAGCAACCAATTTACTGGCATTGCATCCAGTTGCTAACCAAACACCATAAATAACTCACCTAGCTCCCAGAAAACACGCTCTTGGTGGCTGGGAGAGCCTGGCCGACTGAGGCTCATCTCCTCCTCTCTTGAGACTTTCCTTCAGTCTTTCCTTCAGAATTGGACAACTTGCCGCTTTCCTGCTCTTCTCTGTCTTATGACCCGTGTTAAAAATGCCATCAAGGCCTGAGCTGGTGGTAGACAGGTTTGATTATCCCATCTTCTTCTAGAGTTGGCCTAGCCACAATGGTCTCGTTGAGAGAGAAGGAAAAGAGAAGATGTAGTAAGCTTTCCACAGGGGCTGTGGAAGAAATAGCAGGGTTAGTCTGCTTTGAGGCAGATGTCTGTGAGTTTTGGACACTGAAGTTTAAAAATTACCAATGCTTCTGTGAGCTTTATTTTCTCAGTAGTTAATTTGTGACACCTCAGAAGGGCCTCATTTTTATAGGAAGGTGGTTTCTGAAAATGGATGCATTTGAGGCAGTTGATGTGAGCATCCAAAAGGATTACTCACCTTGAAAATTTAGGTCACGGATTCTCTTCCCAATTCTGACACTTTCCTGACTTTGGAAGCTTCAGTAAATCACTTCATTCTTCCTCAGTCACTTTGAAAGAGGAATAGTGGTACTTGAGTTGTGACCATAAGTACATGTGAAGCAGCTGAGTGCCTTTTACAAGAAGGTCTCGGTGTATAAACTCCCTTGTATCACCTAGGTTTGACATTCATGTTATTGCAGCAGAATACTTCAGAGTTATGCAGGAGTAAATCCTTGATTTCATGGAGGTGAATTCTAGGAAAACTTTATTTCTTCATTCCGCTTGCATAATTTTGTGGTAGGTGTTTAAAAAAAAAAAAAAATCTTTGATCCGTGCAAATGTGTCTGAATGGGAAGAAAGCAACATGTTCTGCACAAAAGCTTCAAAAACTAAATGCAAATGAATGAACATATGGAGGGCTTTCTCTTATTTTTCCCATTCATTGTCATATGTACTGAGGCAGGAGCAATTTCCAAGACTGAGTTTCTAATCCACACTCCATCTGATGTCTCAGATGTTCCAAGAGCTGCTGTGGCTATTCACAACTGTTAATCCTTCAGTATTTTATAGAGGGAGGTCACAAGAGCTGTTGGCTGGAGTGCTCGGAAGACTGCTTTCGGCTTTGGAATAGCAAATTTCCAGTGTGGAGCATTGTTATAAAGCCAGGAACTGCTATAAATAAAACCACTGAAATGGAAGCTGAATTGAACTGTGCTGGAGGAGATGGTTCTATTTGCAGTAAAGTATTATTGTTCATCTTGACTTTTAGTCTAAATAGACAGTAGACTACAGAAGAAAGAAAGCAGTGTTGCCTGGTCATGTTCTTCAGGTCTGGGACACTAGGACAACTCCTTTGAAAGGCAGTCTAAACAAAATTAATGCATGAATCTTGCTGAGAATTCTTCAATTTCAGTGCTTTTCATTGGGTCCCTCTAGGGTTGTTCTGCTTACGTTGGAAAAGCATGCACATAATTTTAGTCAAATCGCCTCTAGACAACTGGCATTTATGACTAATGGCTGAAGGAAGATTTTAGGGGAGTTTGCTTTGCATTGCTTTCATTGCGTTGGATATTCCTTGGATAGTATTTTTATATTCTGAATTCAGTTTTGGGGTATGATAGCAGCAATACAAAAAATTCTCTTTGTATGTGGATGAAAGGACATGTTTTATTCGAAGAGAGTAGTAATTCTACTTCTTCCTCTTGGAAGTTTAAAACTGATAGTCTTTAGCCTCTTTTCCCTGTGGTGCAAGCAAATTGATTTATCCGTGCCATGGAGTGACTTTAAAGTGCCTGAATATATGCGCTGAAGATGTTTAATGTAGATGCCTAACGTAGGACCCTTAGGTCAGACCTGTCCCAGGGGCAGAGTTTCCCCAGCCCTGTCCCAGTCATCTTTCCCGAGGACACACTGATGTACCATGTGAGCGATGGGTATCCAGCAACCTGACGTTGGTCAGGTCACAGCTCAGAGGTTTCCACCTGTGCTTGTATGATGGGAAGGTTTGGGAAATACAGCCCTTGGGCATCTCCATAAGAGGTTGTGTAGCAATTTCAGTTAAGAGTGGTTAGCTGGCTCCCACATCTCTTTTCAGAGAAGATTGTACTTATAAAGAATTGTTGCAAAACTGCTGCTATGCAAGAGCTGCTCTTAAAAATAGATTATTTTTAAACACAAATTACAGTAAACCCTTTTAATTTGTAAAGTTTGCAGACGAGGGCATGAACAAAATAGCAGGGATTCCTGGAAAAGTGCATAGTACTGGAAGATAAATATAACTTCACAAATTGAAATAAGCAGAAGGCAGAGCAGTAACATGTCTGAGAAAAGATGATTGAACTTGTTGTCATTATCGTACTGATAATGGGAGATTTGATGTCACAGACTGATTGCTGAGTTTGGCATTGTGTTTGGTAGACTTCTTCCAGGCAAGGACAGGAGAGGGTGCAGAGGGGCTTTTCTCATGTTTAGGCAGTTTCTTTAAAATTAGGACTGTGAGTTTTAGAAGAAGGCAGGAGAAGAGACGCTTGTTTTTTCTGTTTTATTTTGGAGAAGAAAAAAAAATTAAATTTAGGTCTCTCCATGTGAAAGCTGGAAGCTTTTAAGGGCATAACATTGCCAAAATGGTGTTGGGCTTTCTTAGAGGTGGAAGTGGCAAGAACCTCCCTAGGCAGATAAAGTATCCTTCTTATACCCAGCGGCTTTGGTGTCGTTTAACTGCAAAAAGCACCCTTAAGCAACTATCTTGAGTTGGTCTAGTTTGATTCCCTGGCAGTTATTTCAGTGAAGCAGATGCCCTTTGTCCAGAGATCCACTATGTTGTTCGTATTCTGTTTGGGAAAATAACTGTTCACATGTAAGTCTTCATTAAGATTGCCTATAAAAAAAAGACAGCAACGATAAGAAAGCCTTGAACCCCGACTTACGCATGCAATGAGACCTGCATCCTCTGAAACCTGCATCCTCTGGAAATTGCACGTCCTCGATTCTTTTTCTTGTGCCTTTTCTGAAGCCAGCTGCTTTGCAGGCATTTGCTTTGCTTTGGTTTTAGTTTGCTTTGGCTGCTTTCCTCTCCTTTTTATTATTAAATGCATTTTCAAGCATGCTCTAATGTCTGCTGTTAACCCAATTCTCAGCCCAGGGCCGGACTCGACCATCGAGACGAATCTCCTTCTCCTTCAGCATCCCTCCACTCATTCCTAAGTCTAAAACTCTCTTTTCTATTGGCTCTTCTTCCAGTGATGAGGAGGAGGAGTTGGATAGTAAGTAATTGTTTTCTGTGCGTTGCAGCCGTTATGGGTGGAAACAAAGGGAAATCTGGCTTTCTGCTTTAGACCTTGAAGTTTCACCTTGCAAACATTGAACTAACCTTTCCATTGCATGATGTCTAACAGCATTATCTTAGTCCTGTATCTGAATACTAACCAATGACAGAATAAAAGGATTATAATCCAGAGTCTTGTACATCAGCACCATCCCGTCTCATCTGGTTAGTTTTGGTCTATATCCATGTAGCAAATATCATCATCTGCCACTCTGCAATATAGTTATTACCTTTTTATTAAAACCAAAATACTTGTCTTGAGCTTGTTACAGTGCATGGAGTTAACAGAAGAGGTAGATCCTTGCCCTCCACAGCTGGGAGTGAGTACATTGCTCGGTGGAAGTAGGAGAAGAGGAGAGGAGCCCTGATATGAAATTCTGAAAATCTTGGTTACAACTTCACAGTTACCCTACTGAGCAAAAAGCATACCTTGCAGCCAAACACCTTAAATTGTCAAGGTGTTCATATCTAGGTCCTGATATTATAATCAGATAGTTTTGTTGGGAAACAGGCGAGTGTTATATGGCAGCTTTTTTTTCCTCCTGCAAACTCCATTACTAAAAGAAACACAACTAAGGCAGAAGATTGAATTAAAGTAATTTAGACTCCTCTTGTTTTTTTAAATAGCCTTATCAAAGATAATTGAAAATGCTTCCTATTTCTTAAGCATGTTTTATTAGACTGTTGAAATAAACCAGAACAGATAATTCTCTATCTAAAGAGAAAATTCAGAGCAGCTGCATTAGTTGGTTCAAAGGTTAGCAAGGAAACTAGCCCACGTCCCTTGTGTCCATACTGGGATGGGGGAAATTGCTTTCCAGTCCAACAGATTTTGTTTGCTTCCTGAATTTAAAAAATCTCCATACCATCCCTGTTGTAGGTACCTAAATTTTCCTCCGTTCCATTCCCAGTCTTCACTGTGGGTTTGTCCCTTCCTACAAGAAAGTCCTGTGGTCTTGCCAGGTGTGATACTACCCACTCCCATATTTAAGCTCCTTCTTCCTTCCCCTTTGCTCTGTCCTTCTCTTCTGCCTTTAACAAAACTCACAATTCATGGTCCCCACAAAGTGAGCTGCAAACACGCAGCTGTGCATTGATGTCATGCTCCCTCGGTAAAAAGTACTCTTAGCTAAACTTCTTGGCGGATTTGGTTTTTCAATGGGTTTTTTTGGTTGTTTTTTTTTTTTTTTTAAATTTCTTTTAGTTTGTTTTAAGCATCCGACCAGTTAAGTAATTCCTAATAGGTTAGGATATAGCAATTTTGGGGGGTATTTCTGTTAGCCAGTATTTATCTTCTCTCCCTCAACAGTGCTGCTGTTACCGATGAGCATTTAATGTCAGATATTGTCTCAAACAAAAATGTTGCTTTCTTTACATGTGTTTTATTCCCTCATATTTGAGGGTACTGTGATGACTTTGTATAAAGGTTGGTTTAGCCACAGCTATTCATAAGACTGCTTTGGCAATGGGCATTTTTCATGTAGTAATCCCAGACCAGTTTGTTTATTTTTTCACGTCTTCAGGGTTCATTTCTCATAAGATGATGGATGTCTTAGCACGGAGATTGCACTTGCATTTCAGTTACCTTCAACCTCTCCATGCCTGTTACTGTCTAGAGTATGGAGAATTAGTTGCAGTTTGTTTGATATCATGATATGTTTAAGACATGGATTTCAGGTGGCTGGACAAGCCAGTCTGTGAATTTTAGAAAATTATTATGAAGCCTTTGGATTTCTTGAACCACAGAAGTTTAATTACTGCCAGCCTTAAGGAGCTGCGAGCTGTTTTCTTCTGTTTGCAACATCCTAGTCCAGTCGCTGCTTTCTGCGTAATGGATCTTGATGAATTATTTCCAGTCCAGCTACCATATGAAATAATTTTGGTGGGTGATGCTTAAAAGGTGTTCAGATAAGTACACCAAAATTTGGCTGCTAACCCAGATTCATTGGGCATATATAGCAGTCCTGGCCTTTGAACAAAACTAATTTTTTTTGTGGGTCGTGAAGTCAGTTTTAACATTTCAGTTTTGAACCTGGTCATGATAGGAAACACAAAAATTACAGAAATAAACCTTCCTTCCCCTCTTCTACCTCAAAAAAAAACCCAAACCCTGAAGGTGAGAAAATGTGTGCTTTTCTATGCTCATCTTCATGGGCTTTATAGCTTTCAGCAGAGTTTTGATCATATGATATTATATTGTAACCTAGCATATGAGATCATACACCTGCTTTCACCTTGATTTTTGTCTGGATCCGTTTTGCCTGCCAGTGTCAAGAATCCCCCATTTTCAAGATAAAACACTATTGCAGTAAAAGATAAATAGTACATAATTGAAGTTCCCATGCAATGAATGCACTTTCTCAAAGTGCTGAAAAACAGTCACGAATATCAAATTATTACAGCTCTTGATTCAGCGTTCATTCATATTTCTTACATTAACTGCAAAGAAATGAAAAGGTTGGTGAAGTACTTCAATCCAGTCAAATTGATGAATCTATTAAAAAAAGGAAAGACTAAGGAGGCTTAACCCATGTTAAAAGCAAACTAGAGCTGAAACGTGAACCAGAGTCTCTGGAGCATTAACCAGGGAGTTGGGAGTCTGTAAATTACTTGTGTGATCTTAGTAGGCGCTTAGGTAGTAGATATTACATAAAACCCCAGCACAGTCAGGAAATTGAGTAGTAGACTTCATTTGATATATGTTACAGTGTTCCTAACTTTGATGTATTTGGGATAGATCATTAATTAGATGAAAGATTTTGCAAGGGAGATATTAACAGAGATCTCCAAGCAGGGATTAGGTAATGGGGTATGCCAGTATTTTAGTTTCTCAATATGAAGAAGTGATATTTCTGTCTCAGGCTGTGTTGACACTTGAGTCAGCAGTTAGGAAAATGTGTCTTTTAGAATCATAAGGCATAACATTGTATGCACAGTTTTTCCTAATGCACTTACTGCTTTTGGACAGAGGACCATCTTTGCCTCTGATGTCAAGTGGCTCTTTTGCATTCACCATTAGCTTGATATGTTAACAGAATTTGAAGCCAAAGTACTGGTTTTTTTACAATGTATATGCAGAAGCCTAATAAGATGATCAGCCATGCTCCTTCTTGAACTTCAGATAGGACTGCAAGCAGTGCTTGTAGTGAGGGTTTTTTGGAGTCCTGACAAGCCCAGTTACTCGGGAGAGAGCCCTCTCTCCGCTGGATCATTTCGTCCTGATTTTTCAGTATTCTTTGATGGTTCTGGTAAATGGTATCAGCTACCTAATCTGCTCCAAATGCATTGTGCAAGCAGGTTTCTTGCAGTATAAAGAGAATTTGTGTCACTGGCAGGGCTTCAGCTTTATGTCGAAAGTCAGGCTTTCCTCAAGCACAATGTTGTGTGACTAAGCTCTAGGCTGGTAGTCTTTCGTGGAAAACAGAATAAGGCTTCCCTTGTTTCCCTTACTCTTTATGAAGTGCTTCAGGATTTTGATGGGAAAATGAACTATAATTTTATCAAGCAGAAAAGTTTTATACATGAAACCCGGATGTGTTGTACAATAGAGTCTTTGTGGTGGTGTATAAATAAAAGCATTGTGGCAGAATGATTCTCATTTATACCTAGTGTCATTGAATTGGCAGTTTTGATTCAGATACCCTGATTTACCAGCAAATTTAACATATGCACATCCTTTGCTTAAGAGCTGAAGAACGATAAAAATACTAAGCAGGCTTTCACCTCAGCATCTAATTTGAGAGCACCTAAGGATACAGGGAACAGGCTTTATCCTGAGCACATGAAGTCTATTCTAAACACTCACTTCTGGAAAACATTTCCCCTTCCTCTTGAACCGTTCAAATATGCAAACTATGTTTTTAAAATCAGTGGGCTAAGATTGCGGTCTAACATGTCACCCCCCCACCCCTCTGATCTTTTCCAGGTATGCAGGTGTTCGGCGGCCCCACGGGTTCCTCGGTTCAGAGGTACGGTATTCTGGGGGTACCACGTCTCTTCTGGTGGGCTCTGATTTGGGCACCCGAAAGCCTTCCTGGCACCGGTGCACTTCAGCTGAAATCACAAGTTGTCAGGCTTGTGAAAATCAGTCCCCTATGTCTAAAGGCTGAAGAATATTTTAGATCATAGAATGTGAAAGTCTGTTTTAGGTCTTAGCTCTAACAAGGCTTTGTGTTTATTCATAGCTTATAACATATCACGTTATCTATTATTGAACAATATCAGTTTACCCTGAGTTCTATTTTACACTCAAAGTAGTTGTTCCTCCCTTTGGTTAATTCTGTCTGTATTTCTATAACGAAGGCCAAAACGTTTTTGTATGTTACTTTTCATCCTTGCAAGCTGTAGAGAGGAGATAATCTTTCTGGTGGGTGCTGACTTTAAAAGCGCTCCCCTGGAGGAAGGACGTTTGTGGCACCAAAGGAGCTGGGTGTCTGGTCTCTGTGTCGCTCTGATAGCTTTGGCTTTATTTCGTGTCTGGGAGGCTCTTCACCTCTGCTCGCTGCTGTTTTCTCCTCCTTGATTTCAGTTGTCTTTCTGTTGTTCTGCTTTTGGTTTGCGTTGTACTTCCTATTGACAGACTGTGTCCTTTTCTTTAACGCAATAATAATTTCCTCCGGAATTTCTTATTCTTCCATAGAAGCTGAAGAAGTCATATGCTTGTGCATGTAAAGACTGGCAGAAAATATCTGGTGTTCCAGAAATGCCTAAATTAATACAAATAACCATTGCTGTTTATTACTTAGTAATGGTATTCTCATTTCTCAAGGGAGGCTTTGCAGACAGCGTGGTTTCTGTTAAAGATGCTCACTGCCTTTTAAGAGTTCATTAGATGTCTTTCTCTGGAAGGAGATTTCTCTTTAAAGGATGTGTGCGTGTCTGTCCCTTCTGTCTGAAATATCGATGATTAAATGCCAAGACTGACTGTGTATCTGCAATATTGGCCATGTAAATGGGCAGATGCTGCAAGCTGGTTAGTGGTTATTTGGCCACGGGAGCAGCAGAGGGTGCTATGGCATGGTTTGAGAATGGGGATTGCTTAAAAACAGGTAAAAGGATTCCTTGAAATATACGACAAACTACTGGATTGGCATTTTGTCTTCACTTTGCCTTCTCTGGTATAACACCATAAAGCAACCCATGACTCTATTGGATAATAAATGCATTTGTCCTTTAAAAAAGAATCTATCCATTTAACAGGTGCTTTGGGAGGAAAAAAATAATAAAAGCAACCTCTTTCTTTTTTGATTTTAGCATATCTGAAGAAAGCAGCAGTGTCTCTGCTGGTAAAAGTGGAACAAAAGTCAGTCGCACCTTCAGCTACCTCAGGAATAAAATGTCCAGCAGCAAAAAGAGCAAAGTAAGTGCTTCTTGTGATTTATACAGCAGTGAAATACCCATAGTTAGCAGAGATAAATTCTGTATTTCAGTGTGTTTCCACAGGGTGGTATGTCTTTGCCTGACTTTCTTTTCTTTTTTTCTTCCTTTCTTCCTTTTGCGAGGGGAGGATTGTCTGTGGGGTAATAGGGAATAGCTGCATGGGAAATCTTAGCACCCCAAAATTGAAATGCATCTGAGGTGAGTTTTCCTGTGCAGTGTTTTTGCCTCTTTTCCCCACAGAATGAAGCTTCATTTATTATAGAGAATAGATTGTGTTCCGGCATGAGTTATGGCTTTGTAGTGATTGATGAGTCTAATTTTTACAGAACCTGAGGGGTGTTAAATAAAATGAGGACAGGAGCTGTAAGAAGGGACTGGTTGCCGAAGGCTGTATTGTGTTTCCCTTTTACCTTTGCCACAAAGTTCCTCTGCGCTGCTGGAGAAGTTGCTCAAACCGTGACCTTTAGTGATGGCCAATATTTATATTTTCCCCTTTTTTCCATCCTTGAAACCCTGGGATTTAATTTGCTGAAGGTTAAGCGCTGCTCAGCACAGCTGAATTTCCTGGGAACAGCATTGGTTACAGAAGTAATTACATTAACGTTAAATACTTCACACAAATGGGTTGTTGTTGCCTTAGATTGTCCCCTGAAGATTAATATATGTTTGAGGGGTTTTTGGCTTGGTTGGATTTTTTTCCTTGAATTTCACCTTCGTTTATCATGTCTGACAGAGGCTAAGAGCACCTTACCTCACAGTGGGGAAGGTGTATTATATAGTTAGGTGATGTGTACCAATATGTTGGTAAATACTATTGGAAGGCCCCTGAGACATGTAATTACATATTCTGCTGAGAGTCTGAATAGCAAACGGGAAACAAAATGTGGCATAATGAGCAATGTGCCTGTCGCAGAACAAGGCTGGGCTGAAGCATACACGTATGGGAGGGGTCGTGTTTCATCTGCACAAGCAAACTTGATTTTATCCTTTCCCAACATAAGCACTTGGTGTTTCAGCCTGAGTGTTCCTCTAACATAGCTGGGTTTGCACGCTCTCATGGTCCAATGCACATTTTGATACACGTTTTTGGAAGATTGCATCACCTTTGCAATGAGGTACCAGCTGTAGTGAGATCAGTCATCCTAACGCACAGTTCTGCTTTATGGATCTGCCTTTAAAGATGCAAGCTGCAAGTACCAGCGGCTCAGAGCTGCTGCTGAGCAGCTTTAAGACAATGCTGTTCCCTGCTGCAAAGTACAATATAAAAAAAAAAAAATCTGTTTACATAGAAACCTCTGTGCAAACCACTAGGGAGAAGTTGTAGAGCATGTTGCACAGCCTGTGAATGAGACTGGAAATTCATTAACTGGTTCTTGCACTTTGGGTGTATAATCTCTAAAGCAAGAACTAGAGAGAGAGAGAGATGTAAGAGATCTGGTTGGGACAGGTAAGAAAATATAACAGAAGTGCTTTGAGATATTTGCTCTGCTTTTGTTAAATAAGTGCAGTCTGATTTCACTAATTCCATGATTGTGTCTGAAACTGTTGATAAAAATTGCTCCAAAATCCCAACAATAACACGTACTACAAAAATTGCAGCTCGTATCAGTTCTGATATTTTTACTAACTAAAAAGCCATAATATCATTCAAATTACAATTTCTTCTCTGCTCACGGTGGAATGTTTGCATTACATACATTTTTAGGGCTTCAGCTGTACATTTAAATAATTTGACCTAAAAATTCTTGGGAACACTGATTTCTCAGAAGCATTATGGCCAATGAAAACCTGTAAGAGTTAAAAAGAAAAACAACAAACCTTGAAAGAGGAAGTTGGACAGGAAGAGTTGGTTTCTGCTGCTGTCTGGGCTGTCAGGAGGGAGAGAGGCTTCAACTTCTTTCCAGCTAGGTTTTACTTTTATTCAAACCTTCAGAAGTGCACCGTTTTCTAAGATGAACCGTAAAATAAAGCACATCTGAGCTACTAATGGCAACGGCTCTTCTTGAAAATGGTGTAAACAGTTACGTAAAAAAAACCCTCAAAATAAAGGGGTGTTTGGATTATTAACCGGAGGGGATACTGATAGAAGTTTGTGTGAATTTACCCGTGTCTGGCACGTACTTTGTGTTATTCAGGGATTAGTCATCAGATCTCTTGAAATCAGCAGCGTGCACTGATTCATGTTTGTGAAGTTTAAAACATGCTATATCTCTGCAATTAGAAAGAAAAAATACTCGTTTTCTTCATTTTGGTAGAGAGTTTCTGGGAAATGACGACAAAAAAATTAGCATGAGTAATTTCTTTTTTTCCCTTGACTTGTGCGGTTATTAGGCAGTGTTGTACCACCAACAGCGTTTCAGTGTATGTAGTAAGAGTTGTAAGTGTTTGAAAGGAGTAGGAGACAGGGAATATTTGTGGCCCATAGAGCAGGAAAAGCGCAAACACGTGAAACCTTTCTGTCTGGGAAATCATCTGCAGCACTTGGTTTACTGAAGTACTACATAGCAACACTGAGGTATGTTAAATTCACTTTTTCTGTATCCCAAACATCACAGAGGGTTTGATTTACCACTCTCTGCCTTTCAAATGGGTGGTCTCCTATTGACTTGTGACTTCTAAAATATTAATCCCATCCTTTCCTGCCTGTATTTTTTTTTTTTAGCAGTGAAAGCTAGGGTAGGGCAAGATGAAAGCAGTAGCAAAGTAGCTAAAATAATCTTCAAGGAAGTTAGCAGCAACCGTCCCGCCCTCCCCCTTTTGCTGAGCTCCTCTCTGACTGCCGTCCCCCCCGTCCGTCCGTCCTGGCAGCTCTTGGCTCTCATGATGGGCTAATGCTGGTGGGGAGCAGCCCTCCTGCCCCTGGGGGGGAAGGATGTCGATAAGATGGAATAAATTTGCCGAAGTACCTCAAATAACAGTGAAGCTAGTAGGACTTAAGCATTGGGAGGTAAGAGTTTCGTGGTTATTTCGGAGCGGGATCTGCTGCTGTGGCGCACGGTCTGTTACTTTGAACCGTACGACCGAGTTGCGGTGCCCGTCGTGTCTGTTAGTGCACGTCGGTGCAGGTTCAGCCGTGAAGCCGTGCTCCAAGTCACGCTGGCAGCTCCGATAGTGCAGGAAAATGGTTGTGTTTTTACAGTCCTTTTAAAAAAACCCCTCCAGTGACTGTCACAGCAGAAAAAAGTTAAAATCTCGTTTTGAGACCTTGTATTTCAGCGGTATGGCTGGCATCCCGTGTATGAAGTTTGCCGTTTCCTCCTTGAAAGTGGTGCACCCATTTCCTGTTTTTCCTGGGGTCGTTCAGCTTTAATTAAAATGTTTTTTACAGTGATTTTATGAAGACAGGGTATTATTCTAGACTCTAGAAATACTGGGCTTTGCAGTAAACATCAGGTACATTTAAAGTATAGGACGGTGAATCTCCTTTCAGCATTTTAAGCATGAGAGTCGCAAGATCTGCCTTGAGCGTAGGGTGGTCTTTTCTCCTGGAGCTTCACAAGTCCTGGCAACGGAGCAAAACTCTAGGCGTCAACTTGGTACCATCGGCCAAGGACTAAACTGCAGAGTTTTGGTTCTTGAATCCTGCCAGACTGGACATGGTTAAAGGTGGGCAGGTCAGCAGGTGGAGAAGGCTGTGGAGGTTTGTGTGGCACGGTGATCTGAGCTGATGGCTCAAAGGAGGTGGAAATGTGCCACAAAGCAGACTCTCCCTGGCAGGTTTTCTGCTTCAGACAGGATTATTCCATCCGGTAATGCTCTTGATTTTGCTTATTTGCAGAACAAAACAGCGTTTGGGGCCAGTAGATAAACTTTGTGTTTATGAGGTTTTGCTATGAGGTTTTGCAGGGGGAGACTCTGATGCTGGCATTTTGCCTGGGGTGTGCTGGGAGAGGGGACACCTTAAGCTGAGTTACTAATTATTTGAGTGTGTCATCAAAGGCTCAAAAGTTTCCCTTCCAGTGACTGCATAGCTCAATACCTCTTTTAACTGCTTCATGGCGGTTGCTCACATGGGCTGCTCTGCAGCTCTCTGATATTTAGGCTCTGACAATATTTAGCAAAGGGCACGTGGCATATAAATAACAAAATGCAAAGATAAGCTTACAGAAGCCTTTACCAATTTCTGGTTAAGCTGCTCTTTCAGATGCCATGAAATCTGCGGTAACAGTTAAAATACAGATCTGGAGCTGAATTGTATGGTGAACATTTTGTAGGGTGGTACATAGAAAGACAAGGAGTCGCTGTAATTCAAATTTGGAGTTTTTCTATGGAGTTTCCTTTAAAAATTGTTTGGGAGAATTCCAAATCCACAAAAGGCTGCAAGGCAAAAATGTTTCAAATTTTTAGTATTTAGCCAGTTTCTATCTCAGGTAGCGATAGAAAGGTAAGCAAAAACTCTGCTAAAGGTTGGAGAAGGTGGCTGTGTTTGTCATCTTTCCAAAGCTGAGTAGCTCAGAGGTTGAACCATGGCTTCCAGAAGACAAAATAATCTTTTATGGTGTTGCTGTTGTTCCTCAGCCTTTCTGTGATGCCATATTTCGAGAGTGTGTGTAAGATCCATTTCCCCAAAAAGCTTCACATAATTACTTGGGGTTGCATGAAACTGTTGAAAAAGTTGCTAGTCAGAAGGAAAACGGAGGTGGAAATATTCTGACAGTGGTGCTGTACCGTCACTGGGGAAGTGTTTGCATTCTCCATTAAAAATGGAGCTGCAAAGCATGAGTCTTCTAAGGGTCAGCCTTAAAAATTAACTGTGTTGAAAGTTTGATACACACTACATGTGGTGTTTGTATTTAACACAATTCATTGAAAGTGCTGAAGAGATTGATCAGAGCCTAGAAGAAAAGAAGTTATTCATTATATAGCAGATATAAAACAAAGGCGGAAGAAAATAGCTGCCTTCAGAACAGACTCAGTTTCATCTCTGCTGGTGAGATACCTGTGCAGAAGGCTCTGCGAGTCAATAGTATGTTAATACACATCCATGGGGGCTGGAAGCTGATTTTTTTAATGGAGAGCTGTGCAGACACATGACTATTGTTATGGTGTATGCCGATCAATATTGTCATAGTGCCGAAGGCAAACACTGAAGAATTTGTAACTAGAGAATAGACCTCTGCAAAGTAACGAGGCATTTGTTCATTTTCTCTTGGCAGGAAAAAGAGAAAGATAAAGAGAAGACGAAAGAGAAGGACAAAGATTCCAAGGAGAAGGAAAAAGATAAGAAGCTGTTAAATGGACATCTCTTCACTGCAACCTCCGTTGTAGCCCAAGCAACCTGTTACCACTGTATGAAACCTTTCAATAAGGATTCGTACTACTGTGCAAGTAAGTCGGGTTTTTTTTTTTCCCCACTTCGTTTTGTTTTTCGCTAAATCTGACATGGGAAATGCAAACCTTATGCTTTATTTTCCTCTTGCTTAAGGACATGGGGTGGGAGGGAGACTTTGGAGACAGTGATTCATGGAGCAGCATGTTGCCTTATGGAAGCTGGACTGAAATGAGTCGTGGCTGCAAGGAGGTGTCCTGCAACCTCCTTCCTGGCCCGTGCTTGGACATCGCAGCATCCCATGGGGTTTTCTGCCCCTGTTAGTTGGGATGTATCACTCAGCCGGAGGACTTTGGCTGTTTTAGCTGCATGTAATGGCTTGTGGCTGAGGTGCTTTGTTAAGATGGATGGAGGACAGGGAAAGCCGGCTTGGATCATGGCTTTTATTTCCAATGGGGAAAAAATGTCCCGCCCATCTGTAGTACATTGCTTTAGTTCTCTGAAACACTGCTTCGGTGAGCCCTCAGTGAGAACAGCATGATACAAAAAAGGAAATACTAACCCTCTTCTCCCTTTATACATGAAATTGCATCACAGGTCAAATGGCAACTACCTGTGTGTGTGTGAAGTACGTGCAACACAATGCAGGCAGTACGGGAACCACAGCGGAGGGTTTCTGCGAGATTGGTGATTTTGTTCTCTTTTCTTATCAGACGGTTTCTCATGGCTGTAGCTCGATAAGGTCAGCAGCGTTTGTGTGGTTGAGACCAGAACGGTGGCTGGTTTACATAGTGACCCAGAGCTATAGAATATGTAGAAAAAATGTCTTTTTCCCACTGCAGCTCAGGGCGCTCCGTTCGTCACTATTAGTAATATTTTTTACTCCACTAGCCTAGATATGAGTCAAAGCGTGTACAGGAATTGCTCCCAGGCTGAGCAGGAGACTCTGTCTCTCTCTGTTCCTTCTGGTAGATGAACAGTGTATAAAATATCTCCAGTGAGCAGGGGAAGGAGCAGCCAGCTGAATCCTGAATGGCAGTTTTGAGTTTCCTGGAAGAGATTTCAGCAAAGTTGTTTGCATGAGACACGCTCTGTGTCAGCCTGACGGGAAATGGAAAACATAAACAATTCTAAGCTCTCAAATGCATCCTCTCCCTTTCCTCAGTCGAATTTCTTAACAGCTTCTGAAGCCACTTAGAAAATCAAATATATCCCAGTTTAACTCTCTATATCCTAATGAGTTAAAATAATCCAACAATGTCATATGTTTTAGCATAGATGTTCTTTCCTTATTTTTCAAGGTACAACAGAAAATTATTATAAGTTTTTTCTGCATTGGCCTGAAAATGAATGCCACAAGGAAAGTTTGGTCAGCGCCCAGGTTGTAAGCTCACATCTGAGAGTGGTCTTTTCTCCCATCGCATCTTGAAATCAGCCATCAAATGCCTTGGAAATGACTGATAACCAGCAGCAGAGGCTCTGCTGTTCCTGTGGTGTCATAGACTGCTTCTTTCTTACAGAAGTGGCAGTGCTTTACTGCTACTATCGCTGCTCTGTCTCGCCTATGGATGACTTTTTCTTAATGCCTTTTAAAGCACTGGATCATTTTAAATCAATGTCTCAACTTTTCAGTGATGCCCCCAGGTTCCTGAAACAGCTAGTCAATACTGAAAGATTTAGCATGCTCTAAAACAAATGGGCAAGCAAAAAATCCTAATTTTTAATAGCTCTCTGACTGGTCTTTTTTATTTTTTATGATCAGTGATGCAGAAAAGAGGCTTTTGGGGGTTTTAATTATTAATACTAGTGATCCAGAGGAGTTGGAGGAACTTCCTACCTGCTGAAGGGTTGAATTGGAGGAATAAAGTCCCTGAAAGCAGATTTTCGATCTAAAAAATCAAAATGCTCTGTTGCTGAATGGTACATCCTAAAGAGCTGCCTTCAGGCTCGCAAGGCTTGAATGTGAATTTAATGGTTCTGAATTGTCTCACTGCCTCTTCGTGCACCAGAAGCAGGGTCTGTCCCTCTTCCTTGTTTGATCTGAAAAATGATACTGCTTGTGGGTTTCTGCAAGAACGTGCAGGTTTCTTTCTTCTGTCTCTCTTGCACAGGAAATTGTGGGACATTGACAGAATAGCAACGCCCTATGGCCTTACCCTTACCTCTCTCAAAATATCAGAAGAATTACTGGCTTTTATTAAGTAGGCCCAAATGTAAGAAATTTTAGGAATGTGAACATGTTTTGTCATTCTGGGTGTGGAATTTTTTCCTTTCATATTTCTTCTAGAAATAATTCAGAACTGTACGCTTACAGTATAACGTACACTTAAAATATAATTCATGATCTCTGTTAATATGTGTTTTCATGGATGAGTGGAAATAACAGGTTTTCTCTAAGCTACTGAATCTCATCTGAGACCATTGGAGTTGTGATCTTTCATCTGTCAGAAGAGTTAATGCTCCAAACCCAGTTATCAATTATTATGAAAAAAGCAGTTTTAATCATCTTTGAAAACTTTGATTCCCAGAAATCTGCTGGCAGAGATCATGGGCAGACTCGGGGTATTCTGAAAAAGATACGCAGCTTTTGCTCTGGCATATATGCAGCAAAGGGTGGTGTTAAAGCACGATGCTCTTTGCATGGGTAAATGTTGTGGTTTTGGACCAAAACAGTGGCTTCAGTCTCGTTTTCAGCCGGGAGTAGTCACCTGGCAGATGCTCCTGTTACTTTTTCTGATAATCCTGTAGTACAGTAGCACTTGGTTTCTGTACTGTAGATCTTGGCTATGATATGTCTGAGTTTATGTAAATGAATTTTCCTGTCCTTTTCCTGTCTTCTGGATCCCATAATCCTTGTCTTGATGAGAACAGTATTTGTGTTTTCAGAGAAAATTTTGGCCCTATGATTGGTTTCTGTCTCCTGCTTCTGCTTTCCACCATACTTTTCTTTCAGAGGAATAACTCCATCTTTTTTCTTTTTTTTAATTTTTTTTTTTATTTTATTTTTAATTTATAACCCATTAGGACCCTGGCAACTCAACCTTGCATTGATTTTTAAACAGAATATCCTGTTAAATTCCATGAAGAAATCTTGTTAACAAACAAAAGGCTAATTATCCGGGAAAGCAGCCTGTCTTTCCGTATCTGTAGCTACTCGTGTAAACCACAATGATGCCTGAAAGTTGTAATTTTCAGTTATGCAAGATAACAGTTCAGATTACAAATGGCAAAAACTGACCTGTTTTCTGTGGTTTTTTGTTTAATTGGTTGGGTTTTTTTACTTTTGACAGACTGCAATGCAATTGTTCACAAAGGCTGTAAGGAGAGTTTTGCTTCTTGTGCAAAGGTCAAAATGAAGGTAAGAGATTTCATCTACTCTACTGAATAAACAAAAAAGTTTAAACAATTTAGCATGCAGGTATTTAACACCTTCTACCATACGTCCCAAAGTTTCCAGCTTGTTGGAAAGAACTTCAGCCCCTGTGCTATAGTGAATAATTTCTCTGGGCTCTCCTGAAATTCCCCAGAATCACACGTTAATACAGTAGTTGTCCCTGGGACTCCGTGAATGCTCCAGGTCAGTGCCACAGGGTGTTTGTTGGCAGCAAATTCCCTGCGTTGTTCCCTGCAGTACACAGGGACCTTATGGTGAGATGGTCTGTCCTATGCTTCAATTAAAAAAAAAAAAACAAAAAATGCTTCACTGGCAAAATCCAGGGGTGTCCAGCACCCTTAAATGCCATATTGCTTAATTCTCAAATGCTGCATCCTGTAATGCAGCATCATGTGTATATAATGCATAATGAAAACTATTAAATAGGTATGTTGTTTATATGGGGAACATGTAGAATTTGTGCTTGCCCCAAATGTGAGAAACCTCTTCTGCAGTATGGTTCTCCAAGCTAGTTAATGTTCATATAATTATGATTTTTCAGTTCTCTTCAGTATTGTCAGCACTTTCTCTTCTCATTTTCCTATTTGCTGCATATTTCTCCATCTGTTATTTTGCCCATTTCATTGATGGCAACTGGGGGGGGCAGGTGCGTGCGTGTGTGCGTGCATACATATATATATTTAAAAAAATACACATACAGCCAAGAACTGATCTGTTCTGAGAGGATTCAGAAAAAACATAGCTTTTTTATTTTAGTTATGTAGCACAGCCTGATGGGAGAAGGGAGGAAGAAATTACAGTGAATTTCATTTTTCTTTCAGCCACAGAGAGGGATGCTGCAGGCACATGATACCTCTTCGTTACCCACAGTAACCATGAGAAACAAAAGTAAGAAAACTTCCTTCCCCTCTGCTTTGGTGATGGTCTGTATCCACTGTTCTTAACTGTTCTGACAACTAATATTCAATATTATGACAACTAACCTTTATCAAAGCAGGGATGAGAGCATCTTCTGTGCATGATAAGCAATGTTTGGGATTTCAGAAGTGAAGTTGCACAGAGTTCATCCACTTCTGCAGTGTCCATGTAGCTTTGAGCAAATGTAAAGTCATCTCAAATTTAGAATAACTGCTTGACTACTGTAGCTTGCTGAAGGCCTACAGCTGATAAGTTCACAAAATCTGGAAGACACAGCCTATGTCAGTGGGTGTCTGACATTGGGAAGAATCCAACTATGAGTATTATATTAACAGAAATTGTTAAGATTACAAGTGGAGAGGATGCTTGCTCAAAATATTTTTTTTTTTTTTAATTAAATAGTCTTATGCGTTGAGGTAGTAAAAACAGAAAGTTTAATTTTGAATAGGAGCAATACTGACAAACTTTTCCTGGTTGCGCTGAGATATACACTGCATTGCGGAGCTACCCAGTGTGACCGAGGGCAAAGAACAGGAGTGAAATAGCCCACATGCGTTTTGTAGTGGCACGATTTGATAAGCTTCTTTAGCGATAGCTTGGAGATCGTTTTATGGAACCACACTGTATGATACAGATGTACCCACTGCGGTATTTGTCATGAAATTCGGAGGTATTGCTCCAGAAAGCAGAAATGCATCTGAAGAAAGGAAAATCTGGAATTAATATGAAAAGATTAGTTAAAGGTATGTGATAGTATATTGAGATAAGGATTAGCATTTCTCTGTGGTACGTACTGATAGAGAAACCTATCTCAAAAAGTTTGACCAGAACCAGGAAGATGTATATAGTTATAGGCCCAGGGAAATTAAAAAGCAACATAGTAGATTGCTACATGTGGTGATTTATCAAATAAAATTAAATTCAGTTTCCCAAGTGTGTGTTTCTGGACTTGCAGATCCCACCGAGATCTTTTAAGCATAGAGCAATGCAATCAGTTCTGCACAGGGGTCGATGTTCTTTCCTTTGTATGGCTGTTTCTGACAGCTGAGATCTCATAACAGCTCTAGAAAGAAAAGTGAATTTTAGAGCCTGGTTTCTTTAAGTCATCATCATCGCAGTTAAGAACGCAGCTGACTTTTCTCTGACACTTCCCTTCCAGGCTCACAACCGAAGGAGCGCCCGCGCTCTGCAATACTTGCTCCTGATGAAAACACCGTAACCTCAATATTCAATAACAGGAGATCACAACAGACTACAGCACTTTCGAAAAGTGTCTCAATACAGAACATTGCAGGGTAAGGTTTCTCCCTGCGCACATGAGTATATGTGTATTATCTGACGCTGCGAGCATAGAGAAATTCAGATCTCATTAAAAATAAATTCATGTACTATGATTTGTATTAAAGGTACAAAAGAGGATCACAAAACCAGAAATACCCATCTTATATATGGTGCTGTCAGTTGTCTTCTGCACAATCAGATTGTCTGGGTTAGTTTAGTCATGGCGTGAGTTCAGAGGCATCTGAGTTGGCCTGGTTATATTCAAGGCCACTTCACAGAGATGCTCTGGGCTCCAGGAGGAAACGCCTTGCCTTGGGCAGGGTACTGTGCAAGCACACATTTGCAGCTCAGGTGTAGTATTAGCTTTTGTGTCCATAATGATACGGTGGAGGCACAGAGCTGCAGTGTTTTAGGACTGTGTTATAGATAATTAATTATTAAAAAAAAAAAAGAAGAAAATCTAATTTATGGTTCCTACACTACCTGCATATTGAACAATTCTACACACAGGGCAAATAGCATGGACTGGGATGTTCTGGATACTTTGCATGCCCTGGATAGTCATGGTGAAATTTATTTCAGTCCATTCTTCTGATCCTTCTCAGAGCTAGCGATAAAGACTTTTGGATAGCCTTTTGTATTGCATTTTTGCACTGCCTGCCCCAATGGGAATGGGAAGTGACAGTAAAATGGGAAGGAATTAAAAGGAGTTATCCAAACTATAAAACCAGGTGTGATTCTTCATAGAAGAAGCGCCGTCACTCAGAACTGTAGATTTTACAGCTTGTTGAGCCCCAATGGGTAGTTGTTAGAAAACAATTAATAAAAATACATTTCTGTACGTAACCGTGCAACGCTTGCCTTGGTTTTCAATTTGTATTTAAAAATGCATTTCTTCTGTGTATTTGAAAATATATTTGGCTGTGCTTTGATGTCATAAATTATATTCTGTGTTCTGTTTTTCTGCAGAGTTGGGAACGATGACAGCTTAATACACACTTGGAAATTCCTGTCACAGTCAACAGACTCCTTACATAAAATCAGCCGGGTGAATGAATCCATGGAGTCACTGGTTGACGAGGGTAAGAGATCCCCATGGCATTTACAGCAACAGGAAGGTCTCAGTGCTGCCTTCCAGAAATAGAAGTTCCATTTTGCCATTTCAGCAAGAGTTTTTCTTTCTAATGGACAATTAAAGTGCATTTACTTTAATCTTAGAATATTAGTATGATAAACTAAAACAAAGCCCCAAATAGTAATTTCTTCAGCTTGTTGAATTGTGGAAAAACATTTAAAAGGTTTCAGTTACAGTTGAGTTACTTGGAATTTAGCTCAGGGACAAACATTTCCTCTTTCGTTCTGCACCTCTGGCCCATTCATACAGCCACAGATTTTGCACTCTGTCACCTTTTTCATGCTGATGTCTTGCGTTTCGTATTTTTCCCAGAGTGGGGAAGGGAGAAACGTATCGTTTAGTTTTGTGGGTTTGAAAGTGAAGTCAGTTAAATTAATTTCTTACGTTAAATATTTTTTTATATACGTTGCTTTTTTAGGAGGTAGTCAGTATTTTTACATCTTAGTCAATATTGACCTGAAAAGAGCAGAATGGTCTTAATTTATTAAGGACTAAACAAGGGCACGCTCATGGTGACAAGAAAAAATTTCCCAGTTCCTGCACAAATGAGCAATCTTTCTTAAAGTTATATATGTGTGTATGTAATGTATGTAGTGTTCACTTCTACCTGCATCAGTTCTGGCTTTCTAAGCTTGAAAACGCAGGCTTCACGTAGGTCCAAGTTCCCTTGATTCAGTGATGTAAATGAAGGAAGACAAACCGGGTGTTGTGGTTTTTTATTGATCTGTGATGTTGTTGCATTGCAGATGAAGAATCCATTGTCTTTTATCTGAGCTAGAATTTGGTCTGTGTGAAAATTGTGAACTAGTTTTGTGCTACTAGCAAATAGCCTTTAAAAGTGCTTTTCATAACCTGGTCCTTAAGTGGTATACTTCCTTTTGATCATTTTTGTGTCAGTAAAGCAGAATGTGTGTCATGTCTGTGGTATGACAGAGAAAGCCTAAACCTAAATGAATAGACAGGAATCTCAAATGAGACAAGTTAACCACATCTTAATGGCACTTCCATTGCTTTGTGAAGGTGCAGACATGAACGAAGGACAGCTGATGGGAGACCTGGAATTGGATTCCAAGCAGCTGGAGGCAGAGTCCTGGAGCCAAGTAGTGGACAGCAAGTTCCTGCAGCAGCAAAACAAAGATGTTGTCAAACGGCAAGATGTCATTTACGGTGAGAGATATCTGCATCTTAATTTTTCACTTACTGTAGATAACTTCTTGAAATACTCACGTGCATGGATTTGGGAAGCTTTAGGTCAGTGAATAGGAACACTGACTTGGTTTTCTCAGAAGTCAAAGTTTCATTCTTGAAGTTCTTAGAAACGTAATGTATTCTGTGAAAGCTTGCTTTCTGCCTTTCACGTATCTGGAAGCCATCAAAAAAACCAGAAATTGCCTCTCCTCGTTTATCTGCTGATGACATTTAAACTCTGTTACAGCAGAGCAGCTAGCTAGGAAGCCTTCTCCTGCCGGATGCCAGAGCCATCCTGTATGGCAAAAGCACAGTATGTTGGGGCTGGCAGTGAGGTGTTACGAAGGAGCAGATAACAGTGCTGAAGGTTCAGACCTCAGCAGCAATGTCCAAAGCTCTTTATTGTGGGATTCCTCTGCCCCTTGTTTCTTCCACACGTGAAGCTATTGATTGATGTTTCAATACCTGACATGAAATTTTCTGAAGCCACTTAGAGAAGCCCAATTATGGAAGAGCTTTCTAATGGCAGCTTTTCCTTGTACTGTACACCCATGTACTCTAAAGTGACCTTGGTTTTGACCTTGTCCATATCCTATACAGAGCTAATGCAGACAGAAATGCATCATGTCCGCACCCTGAAGATCATGAACGATGTATACAGCGCAGGGATGTTAAAGGAACTGCAGTATGATCAACAAGTCGTGGACAAGATCTTTCCCTGCCTGGAAAACTTGCTGCACATCCACAGTCACTTCTTCCAGCGGATTCTGGAAAGGAAGAAGGAGTCGCTGGCAGACAAAAGTGAAAAGAACTTTGTTATCAAGAGAATAGGTGACATCCTAGTGAATCAAGTAAGTGCTGGAAAATGCTTGCACTTCTGAGAGCACAGCTGGAAACCAGGCGCTCTTCCTTCCCTCTTTTTTATGCCTGTTAGATAGTCACAGCTGATGGCACCTTTACTCTTCACACACGTAAAAATCTCTGCCTCTGCTTTTTGAAGCACTTTTTGCTCTTTCAGAGGAAGGTCTAATGATGAAAATTAATTTAGTTTATTTTGTGGGGACGAGAAGCGTTCCCTGACAGGCACAGAACGGTTTGACCATAGCCTGGAGGGTAGGCAGTAGCCCACAGCAAAATATGTCCAATGTGTTTCTTGGCTGAGTTACTGACCTGCTATTTAACTTTAGGTGGGTTTACTTTTCTTTACCTGCGCTTTCTCACTTCTTTTTTGTGTCTGTCTTGACTTTTTTGCTGTTGGCTTTTAAGCCCTGTGAGGTAGAATCCCAAGTTTTGCGTTATGTGAACACAGTGAAGTCTCAAACTCAGCTCTTTACTTTCTAGAGATCTAATTGCCTGGTTTAGGATGCTTTGGAGTAATTTGTTTCCATCAAGTTCTTTTGAGAGACTGGCAGGCACTGCTGGGATATCACACCAGGAGCTCAGTGCAAATTGGACCTCTGTGTCTCATGTCTTGCAGTTCTCCGGTGAGAGTGCTGAGCGCATGAAGAAAACATACGGCAAATTTTGTGGGCATCACAATGAGGCAGTAAATAACTTCAAAGATCTGTACTCAAAGGACAAGCGGTTTCAGGCATTTGTCAAGGTAGGGCCTGGTAGAACAGACGTAGTCGATGAAAAAAATGTCCTTTCTGCACTCTGGTGAGCGTTTTGCTACAGAACTGAAATTTTCATCTTTGTTCCTTAGAAAAAAATGAGCAGCTCCCTGGTGAGGCGTCTTGGGATTTCTGAATGTATCTTGTTGGTAACACAGAGAATCACAAAGTACCCAGTCCTTTTACAAAGGATACTGCAGTACACCAAAGGTAGGGACCATTTCCTCTATTCAAAGCGTGTATTTGTTCCTCCAGTGTAAATTTCTTGGATCCTTTTCAGCTGAAGCAGATTTTCTTAGAATAGACTGACTAATCCAGTCATTATTGTCTCACACCACTGTAACGAGACAACTCAATTTCATATCTCTATTTAGGTTTAGTTATTCGGGTGCCTTGATTTAGTTGTTATAAGTCTGTCTGTAGCTAATTATGGAGCAACATGCTTAGACTCCAAAGTCTCCCAGCTTCCTTTTTTTGGTAATGGCTAAAATATGTGGTTAATACAAAGTATATTGGAATAGTCCCCAACCTCAACCATATATGTGAAAGGTCTTGTGAAACTCTCCTTTCGGGGGGAAAAATGCAGCCTGCCTCATGAAAGTATTAAAAAGTTATAATGCGGGAATTTGGGAGGGAGAAGAGGAAGGAAGGAAGGAAGTAAAATCAGGAAGTTGGAGTCCACAAGGATGAAGTGAAATTGAGGTGTTTCTCTTTCTATTCAAAGAAAATGAAGTGGAACATGAAGACTTGACTCAGTCATTAAACCTCGTTAAAGATGTGATTGCTGCAGTCAATAGCAAAGTCAGCAACTATGAAAAGAAAATGCGTCTTGGTGAGATTTACAACCGGACAGATAGCAAGTCCATCATGAGGATGAAGAGTGGCCAGATGTTTGCAAGAGAGGACTTGAGGCATCGGAAGCTCATCCGAGATGGGCCTGTTTCACTAAAAAATGCAGCTGGACGGTTAAAAGGTAAGACTATCCTGCCTTCTGCCAGGGGAGGATACAGCTCGCCCTCTCTGGATGTAGGATTAGTCCTCAGATTGGTGTCTCCAGCCTTTATTTATTCTTCTGCTTTGAGAGATTTTGACAGCAGCTTTCCCTGTGCTGTACACTCGCTTCCCATCGCAACATTTCCGATTCCTTGTGTTGTTTCTGGGGTGATAGATAGCTGCTTTTCCTCCTGGTGACTGCATGCCTGCTGAAGGCTTGGGTTGCAGTGACTCCTCGGTGTGTCAGCCAAGGAGCGGAGTTGCTGGGGGATCCTTTGGGCCAGGAGAATGCGATGGGGCTGCAGCTGCCCAGAGCAGTGCGTCAGATCTCCGCACCACAATGCGCATGTGCAGCGGTTCCAGGAAGTGTGCTCACTGCATCCGAAACGCAACCTCAGCTTCCTGGTGGCTCTGCCCACCAGCAGCAGTGCCTTTCCTTTGCTCCGAGGTCTGCAGCAGGGCTGCCCAGGCTCAGCGTTACCATCCCCGTTTCACTGGGACTCCAGAGGGGTGTCCCAGGCATTTGTTGCTCTTGAACCTCTTGAGCTGCTGATGCAAACTGTTCAGGAGAGGCTCTGGTGTCCCTGTAGCTGCCTCTTGTTTGGTCAATGTTTTCCTGAATTGCTTTTTGTTTGTTATCAGGTGGAAGTAGTTTTTCTAAGGTGCCGTGCTCTGCTGAGCACTGAAGTTCCCTGCTGAATTAAACACTACATCTCCCAAGGAAGCGTTCAGCCGGGACTATGGTAGCAGTAAGAGCAGACAGGGCTGTGTCTCATGCTTGGCAGGAGGGCTGGGCTTTCCTTCTTTCACTCCAGCATCAGCTGATTAAACCACGGTACTTGGGCATGAATGGGGACTGGTAGCCTGGTGCCGTGCCGTGCAG